TTTTTTTTTTTTTTTTTTTTTTTTTTTTTTTTTTTTTTTTCTTCACGTGAATAGTAAACTATTTTCTGGTCAGTTCTGCACCGATGAGACACGAGCAGATTTGAAGCTTTCTGACAGAAATCATTGTTTCTATTAGTTCATGTTGATGCTTTAGACTTTATTTTATATGTGTGTTACTAATATGTAAAGAAAGTTTGTTTAGTTGGAAGGTAACTCTGCATGATATTTACGTTGCTATAAAGAAAGGCAGCTGAAACACAGGATGTTTGAAAATGGGGAAAAGCCAACAATTCAGCCTCAGTTAGTTTGATGGATTTATTTTAAAAGGGACCACAGCTCATTAATATTGTTTGTTCAGCTATTTTCCCCCTAGATTCTGTACCTAGCTATCTTAGACTCAGACGTTTTGGAGTTTGATTCAGAGGCATTGTGCTTCACAGCCTGCTGGATATAGAAATGCCTAGGCTTGATGCCTTATTACTCTATTTCTTGTGCTTTTACAAAACTTTGCCTTTTGTCAGTGGGAATGCATTATTTGGCCTCCATTCGCTTCTTCAGTGGTGGCTCTGAAATACTTAAATCTTCGAATTTGATCTTTGAAATATCTTGTATTATTAATGCAAACATGTTTAAATCATCAAGAGCTCTAATGCATTATAGATATTTAAACATCACTTAGGGTCCACAACAGTTGATTTATAATTTATCCAGGATTCATATAAAGCTAGATTTTGGGAGGTCTCTGAATGTATTGTCTTGGTTTTGTATACCCAGTGGATTACCTTAGCAGGTCATGCAGCACTTACATGTAACCAGAAGGAATGCTTGTAAGGATGCCAGACTGTTTCACCAATCCTGTTGGATCAGTTAAAGACCATCTCATTCATATATGCCAAGGATATAAGGTGAAGCATAGAGCTTAGAACTAAACAAAACCTTAGCTCTTTGTAGCTGGTGTTTACTTACTGTACATGTCAGAGTATTTTTAAAGGTTTATACTTTTTCCTGAAAGAAAGATAATATGGTCTTCTTTTTGTAGGCATTCATGACATGCCATTACTCAAGTGTATTGTGAAATACTCTTGCAAATGAAGAGAGTCAAATGAGGAACTAAGCAAAGCAGTGGTCAAACAGATGGCAAAACCATCCTTTTTTTTTTTTTTTTTTTTTTTTTTTTTTTTTTCTGTTTTTTTTTTTTTTGACAGAACCTTTTTTTTTTTTTTTCACTTCCAGCTTCATACTGGAGATAGGGCATTGCACCTAAGCTCTTTATCTGCAGATCACCTGTTCAAACTGCAGGAGAAAGGAAGTATTTTCGCCTTGCCTGGAGTTAGGATTATATTTAGATGGTTGGATGTTAAAATATTTTCAGTAGGTTCCTGCCTTTTACTGCTGAGAGATCTAGTTTGGTAATATAGGGGAAGAAATGCTATGCTATTATGATAATACAAGTTACAGATTGTGGAAAGAGGGTGGGGCACTGGGTTATATACTTTCTCACGTTAGTCATCCAAGATTACCAACAGTAGCTGTTTTCACAGCCTGAAATGAAACCTGGGTTTGACAAATGCTCTTTTTCCATGCAATTTTAGCTTTGCTGTTTAAAATGCTTTGCAATTGTAAAATGTTTGGGTAAGCTGGGTTGTGGATCAGTGAAGTGGAGGTGGCTGTTTATTTTCTGGATGTTGCAGTATTGCCCTCAGAGTAGAAATCTTTTTTGTATTAGGTAACATAATTTATATTTGATTACTTAAAATGTTACATCTTGCAAGGTCAAGACCAACTTGAGTTTGTCTCTTTATTTTCAACACAATTTTCGTTCTTTTATAAATCTGGAGAGTCCACGGAGTTTAAAGTAGTGGTGCCCCCGACAGTCTTTTTCAGCCCTGGTTTTTCTACCTGAATTTTGAGAGAAGAGTGCGAGAACTGTCTATTGAATGAAAGAATCCAATTAGAAGACTTTATGAGGGAATTTGTATTTAGTAGATTAAAAAGTATGTTTCACAGTTGTTTGTTTGCTTGTTTGTTAAACACTAGTTGTTTACATAAACTGCATTAAGATTAACATTAATTCCTGATGACATTCAGTGATGATGTCATATGACTGGTTAGATTTTTAAGAATTGTCAGGATTTCACATGAATAGCTGTATTTTTTGGGTTTTCTTTTAGTTTGTTGTGAAAGAGCAAACTTAATATTAAACATCTGATTTATCCTGACAGAAGTAAATGAGAGAGAACCTGCCTGTCTTTGTAGTAAAGCACTGACCCCAGATTTGAAGCCACTTTGAGACATAATTGAATGAGCAGAAGACTGAAAAGGATTATTATAATTGGTGATACTCTTCTAGTTTTTAGTTAGACAGTACAGCAGTAGGCAGAAATGTCATTGTGATTAGTTTGCACCATAGTTATTACTAGAAGATATGTAGGCTCTTGTTTGGATCATGAAACTGTAATTACATCAGCAGTTAGCTACTCAAGATTTTTAAGTGGATTCTTCTGGTTTTCTGGAATTTCTTAAATAATGAGCAGTGCATACATAATTAAAGGTTTTGTTTTAAGAAGTGTCTTGAATCCTTATGGAGTTAGTGTTCTGAACATGTAGTAAATGTAAGCAGCTGCTGTCCTGTCTTTTTGGACATGCAAGCAAACAGCTTTATTGGATTTGATGCTTGTAAGACATTTTAAGAATAGTAGATGTTTGAAATGAAGTAGGCATGTATTTTAGTGCTGTTGGGGATTCTGTGTTCCTTTGGAAAAAGACCTGTAGCTCCTTTCCTTTTTTTTTTTTTNTTTTTTTTTTTTTTTTTTCTTTTTTTTTCTTTTTAAAGCTGTGACATGTTATGTAGAAAGATACCATAGCTATTTTTTGAAAGTGAGGGAATTTGGAAGGAGGCTAGAGGAGCAGTAGTAAATTGGCTTGTTGTTGCTGGGAGGCTGGAAGGTGGCAGTAGCTGAAGATGTCTGGCTGCCCCTCCCCCTCAGCAGCTTAAATAAAATTCTGAGCGCAGGACTTGGAGTTTTGCCATTGACTTTGAATCTTTTCTTATATAATGTCTTCATTTTTTGTTCTGGATCCTGCAAAGTTGCATACCCAGCTCTGCAGTTATTTGTGCAATGCTCCTGTATTGTTTACTGTTTCTTCTTTCCTCCCCCTCTCCCTTGGCTGCCTGAATTCTCACTGGCATAGTGGCTGTGGATTGTGATAATGCCTGCCTGCATTTATGTGTATCATGTGTCCTCTAACATAAATCCCATCAAATTGTTTTCATA